TAATTCAAGGCTGTAGCAATCGTGGAGATCATGCTGGTGGTATTTCTCTGCAGCGAAGCCTTGCAAATAGGTGGGAGCGGAAAAAACGAGTGCGATTTGTGCGAACCCGCCGGATAAACTTCAATCCTGCTGATATATTTGTGATTTGCTCCGAACACTTCTCGGAAGACTGTTTCGAGAGATCTATGCACTTCGAAGGATCTAGGAGAAGAATTCTGCCGGATTCAGTGGCAGAATACCTTACAAAAAGGAAAGAACTCGGCGAAAATTGTAAATAAAGATAATAAAATAGCCGAGTAATGGCATGAGATTTCTGACCTGAACTCACTTTTAATCAAAAGAGATGGAAAATATAGTTGTGTTCTCTAACTCTAAACATCAGCGAAAGCAGAACAAGCAGCGTAACACAACGTAGAAACACTTTAAAAGGCAGGTTTTCAGCCAGATTTGGCAGAGATTACTGTATCTATGCCAAAAAATACTTTGTAACGCAATGAGGTCACGGCTATAAAGAGTTGAAGAAAACTATGCTTTAAACCCCACAGAAGCAACTCAACAACAGGCCAAAGTGCAACTCGACAACAGAGTTCACTTCAAACCTCTCAAAGCACCGATAGTGAAAAACACGTAGGAAAGGGTTAATACCGAGATCATTGACCAAATGCATCGGGGCAAACACATCGATGGCTTGATTTAGAAATGGCCTGCACAAACTTCCAATATCCGCCTTGATACACAATCTTCAGCCATTGCCGAAAACAATTTTTATATATCATCCGCTCATCTCTTACAAAAAGGGAAAATCCCTTACGACAAGCAAAAATACAATTTGAAGGCAATAAAGCGACGCGACCACAAAAGCCACATGAGGATTCCGTGCCGTTCTGTCTTTACCTTTATTCATCGTTTGCCGACGCAAAACTATCCTCAGAAGCTTCAGATGATTTCTGGGACAATTCATTGACAGGGAAAGGCGACATTTCACGACTGACAACGAGACAGTTCTCAAAAAAGTAATACACGTGATTCCCTGTGTAGCGAACAAATAGAGTTGTGACAAAGCTAAGCATAAGTTTGTTGAACCTTTGACGTCATATGACGTTTTCTGCAGTACGATTGTGGGCTCGGCTGGAACATGTTTTCAGGAATGGCGGACGATTTTTGGACGACTTTGAAGAGGTAGAAATTGGTCATCGAAGGTTTGTTTTAAGTTTTTAATGGCAAAAAGGGTTTTAGCTTGACCCAATTCAAAATTCTGTAAACAAATTAGCCCAAAATAAAATGGTCAATTTTCGTCTCAGGGGCACTTTAAGAAAGACTTGCAGCTTGCCATTCTTCTCACGCCCCAAATGGACGATATCTCAAGATAATTTGGATATATCAACAAAGTTGAAGTGGTAAATTGGCCACCGTAACAATTACAAAAGCGGACGTTTCTAGCGTTAGCCCTTCGTCGGAGCGAAAAGAGGAATTGTGGGTTGTGTGTGCTTTTAAAAGCAGAGAATAGAGCTACGTTATTGGTGGGAACATGGCAACGAGAAATCGAGTCGCTAGACATTTTAATTTACCTAATCATTCTAAGCAACATATGGCAATCTGCGGTCTTTCCTTACACTTAGGTAGCACGGAAAGCCGTAAAAATCTTGAACAAAAGCTCATCTTTCAAACCGGCAGTCTAAATCTCACAGGGATCCACGAACGCTTTTCATTCCACTAATTTATTCTTGTTTTTCTCGTTGTCGTGTACCCACCAATAACGTAGCTCCATTTTCTGCCTTTAAAAGCACACACAACCCACAATTCCTCTATTAGCTCCGACGAAGGGCTAACGCTCGAAACGTCAGCTTTTGTAATCGTTACGGTGACCAATTTACCACTTCAACTTTGTTGATATATCCAAATTATTTCGTTACTCCCACCGACACAGCCCCAAACAGTACCTTTCGAAACTATCAGCCTTTACTCATTGATATCTCAAAATATTGAGGATGCAAAAATAACAGTTTGTGCGATATTGTTAATTAACACACCTAGCTTTTACTGGGTACTGTATTTTTCTCAGTTTTTAGAAGTTAAATTTGACCTTTTCCTTTTTATCAAATTTATCATATACGAAAAAAAGAAATGAATACCAGACGTATGGCTCCTGCTGCTCCTTCGCGTTTCTTCAGATAAAACGCTTTTTTTCACAGAAATGAATTCGTAAACACAAAGCCAGTCTTTATGAAGCAGTCCCATTTAATTAGCTTAAGAATGATAGTTTTCTTTCTATTAGAGAAGACCTGTCCACCCATCTCACGTCGTAAGGAACAATACCATTTAACTGAAATATTGAGAATGCAAAATAGTAGTTTTCATTGTTGCGACATTAGTAATAGAGCTGCTTTTTACTCGGTTCATTATACTACACATTTCGTCAAAATTAGATTTAATCTTTTCCCTTCGTCGTTCTTTTACATTAAAAAAAAAAATAGAAATAAACATAAGAATTTACGTAGAAGAAGTGACTTGGAATAACATTTGACGATAAAAACTTGCGACAAGCAACGTTTTGTCGCAAGTTTTTATCGTCAAACATAAGAATTACCTGTAATATGACTTTTGCTGCACACACAATTTCATTTATATTAAAAACCTTTTGACAGAAATGAATTCTGACCAGTCATATCACGCTACAAAGGACGACATCGTTTAATTATAAAAGATGTACAAGCATATGTGACAATGCAAGTAACTCCGCGTTTTACTCCCTACAGTGTGCCACATTTCAACGAAGAGAGACCTAGTGTGTTCACTTTATCGAATTTTTACATACCAAGAAGTGAATACCACAAATACGACTTTTTCTGCTTCCTCATATCAAATTAAAATCGAAAGCCTTTTTTCAAAGCAATGCATTTGTACACAGAAAGTCAGTCATCATGTAGGTGTTCCGGATCATTGACTTAAATAGGAGCGTTTTATTATAGAATCGGTGCCCATTCATCTCAAGTCCTTTTGGACGATATTATACAAATACCGAAGATGCAATAATATCAGTTTGTACCTTAGTATTTAAAACATTTCTTTTTTCACCATGTCACTTTTCACTAAAATAACATCTAGACGTTTTTCTTTTTGACTTATTACATGTGCTGCCTCTCTTCACCCAGGTGTATAAATGGGTACCGGCAATTTAATGCCGGGGGTAAGCCTGCGATGAACTGGCATCCCATCCAGGGGGGAGTAGAAATACTCCTAGTCGCTTCATGCTACAGAAACCGGAGTTAAGCACCGGCCTAATGGGCCACTAGGCTCGTAAACAGACTTTACTTTACTTTACTTTTACATGTGAAGGAAGGAAAAATTACTTTTGCTGGTCCCTCACCTCCGATTCAGATCGAAGGCGTTTTTGAAGCAATTAATTCCTAGCCAATTAATAAAGGCTGATAGTTTCGAAAGAAACTGTTTGGGGCTGCGTCGGTGGGAGTAACGAAATAATTTGGATATATCAACAAAGTTGAAATGGTAAATTGGCCACCGTAATGATTACAAAAGCTGACGTTTCGAGCGTTAGCCCTTCGCTCCGACGAAGAGCTAACGCTCGAAACGTCAGCTTTTGTAATCATTACGGTGGCCAATTTACCATTTCAACTTTGTTGATATATCCAAATTAATTCCTAGCCAGTCTGTATAGAGCTGTACCAGATCGTCAGCTCAAAAAGAGACGTTTTTATTATGGAGGCACTGTCCATTCAACTCACGTCATAATCCATAATATCATTTAAGTATCGAGGATGTAAAAATGGAAGTTTATATGACAGTGCTAACAGACATTTCCTTAACATGCGCTCTCTGTGTCACATTTCACTAAAGTTAGTTCTAATCCCTTTCTTTTTATTGTATTTCTTACATTACAACAAAGGAATACCTGAAACAATATTTTTTTCTGGTCCATCAGTTCAATTTAGATGGAACTCTTATTTTTAACAATTAAATTCCTGAAACAGATAGCCAGTCTTAATACCACAGTACCTGATCATCAGCTGAACCCTTTCACTCACAATATTTAATTTTCAATTCTCCTCTTTAACTTCCACACATATCCTTGTAAATAAGTTACGAGAATTTGATGTTAGATCAAGATAACAATTTCCATTTGATAAGTTAGAATATTCTGAGTACCCATTTGTTGGAAATGTATGGATAGTATAAGGAGAAGTTAGATGTTAATCACTACTGGGAGTTAGAGGGTTCAAGCAGAACCATCTTATTATAGGGAGACCGCTGTCCATTCCTCTCACGTCATAATGACGAAAAGTTGTCTTTTGTTCGGTAAATATTGTGCCACGTTTCACTGAAGTTGAATCTCATCTTTTCCATTATCGACTTCTTTCATATGACAAAGAAATGAATACCAGAAATGTTTGGATTACTGCTCGCTTACTATAAATTAGATGTGAATACTTTTTAACAGCCATAAATTCGTCAGATATCTAGCCACTTTCCATACTTGATGCTATCAAAAACTAAAGTGAGATAGAAAGGACTGATATACTACAAAGACAACAGCAGCAACCACAATTAATGTGGGGTTTTCTTGGAAGTCACAGGCAAATTAACATTTTTTTTTTCAAATATCAAAAAAAAAAAATTTCAAATAAAACCAACCTAATCACAGTTTGGATTGTAACAACTCTAATTTCATTGAGTTAATTCTCAACTTGATAAACATCGATCAGACTTTTATTGAACCTAATCATAGTTTTGATCGTAACAGCTCTAATTTAATTGAATCGATAATCAAATTGACAAATTGTATATTGATCAGACTTTTAAAGATAACAGCTATTACGTAATTTCCGCGGGTTTATGTTAACTCTAAGAAGTTTTAATTAGCACTAAGAAAAAATTGATCAGCTTCGATCAGTGGCCAACTCGAAAGCTATGCTACTTTGGTCACTGTGCACATTTTAGTTTTGATTATTGATGTAATTTACTGTTTTTTTTTTTTTTATATATTCTGACTTTTATAATCTGTAGTAACCTCTTGAAATAGTGCGAATAAAGAGTTTCCTTTCCTTCCTTTCCGATCTTACTTACCATACATATTTATAAACAATATCTCCCCGAGTTCCCGAGTTCTTGCATATGCGAAGAGTATTCATTAGCCAACCGGAGGGTTATTACTATCTTACTGATCCGAACGTCTGTCAGCTGATCTTTGAATTTTAGCCGAGGTACATAAGGGGGCCCTCTGGTCGAAATCCATCAAAAGAATAAGTCAAAACTATTCAGAGTAAACTGCGGAAATTTGGCATGAAGCAATTGCAAGCCGAGATGACTCTGTGTACCAACCGATGTGTAAAAGTTGACCACATTAGTTTATTACTTCCCATACTTCAAACGATTTAGCTGTCCCTAGCTGTATGTTTTAATGATAACATGACCATATTGTGTACTGCAGTTAACTGAATCAATTTATTTTTACGGTATTACGGTAAGCTCACGTATTAACCCCAATTGAATAGCTTCAATAAAAAAAATTCGTTCTTCATTGGAAAATTACGAATGCTAAATGCAATTCCCGTGCTGTACTCTTGTTGAGGGTCAACAATTTATTATTTCCATGATTAATTAAACCTCTTAAAACCTACGAAAATCATCTGGTTCAAAGATCAAAAGTTTTTTGGAAGACTTGCAAAGGAGTGTTGGTATGTGAAGTGACGCGGGCTTTTTTCGTGCAATCTTGCCCTTAAATCAATAAAAACAATCTGCCGCATACACTTAAGACTTCGACTAAAACGCTTACGCTGATTTCATTTCATAGCGATCTGCTGGATTTAGCGATAACTCATGGCTTACGTTATCCACCCCCATAGAGAACGTTTTCAACATATTCGCTTAAGACTACATACCCTTTACGCAGGTTTAGAATGTAAGGTATTTACATATGTACAGCTTATTTTGAATCACACAAACTGTCCAGTTATTTTTGTTCAGCTACGTTATAGCTAAGACGATGTTTAAGGAGCAACCTTGTTTTTTTTTTCTCAAATCAGCTCAAGTAATCCAAACTGTTCCAAAGGCAATGGAAAACTGTTTAAACTCAACTATTTAGGCCTGTTTCCTCTTTGGAAAGCAACGCATCTAAAACGGCTGACGTTTTGTTGTGCCATTCAAAGATGCAACTATGAACCCGGGAAATCATCAAGAAACCAGCTTTTAAGACGAATGGTACACTTGGAGCACGTCGTCTCCGCTGTGACAAGTGTTTTGTGAGGAGTTTTGATTTTGGTTGTGAGGTGGAGGACTTTTTGGATACGAGTTACCCTCTTTGATGCTCATCTGTGACAAGGCCATAATCGTGTGCCCTCTTTCCTGTTTCTCTGAGGGACTATGCGGCAATGTGTAAGCTGTTATTCGACCAAACGACATCATTTTCCACATGGTGCCACCAGTTGTAAAACTGTTCTCTTCCTCATTTTGTGACAAAGCGGACAAAAAGCGTGCTAGCCTGACTCGAAAACTTGAACAGCAAGTCATTGTCATGAAGAGTTCTTTGCGAAACTTGTTGTTCAGCAAAATATAAAGACATGGATTTATTGCGCTGTTTGCGTGCCCTAGCCATATGAACCAAAACAGTGTTTCACCTGGTAACAAATTGCTAAGGTCTGGTCGGACGTACCAAATGTAATGATTAACATAACTTGGGAACCAGCAGATTACAAATACTAAGAGGATCAGGACCAGTAACCGCACAACTTTGCGTTTGGATTTTTTAGCCGCGGCGTGATTGGTGTTTGTCACATTTCCTGGGATCTTTCGCAGCCATAATTTTCGACAAATTAAGAAGTAGACAAAGGTGGTTATAGAAAGAGGCAATGCGTACAGCACAATGAAAATCGTGATGTGAAAGATCTTAAGTACGCGATAGGTTTCAGCATATGTGGGATCGTTTTCGTCTTGCCAGGGCCACAATTGTAAACATAGATGCGTGTCCAACTCAGGACGATACTGAACTCGGTACATTATTGGATATGGGATCATCAGCACTAAAGATAGAATCCAAATTGTGGCAGACAGTATTTTTGGCTTGCGGAAGATCTTCTCTCTGAATGGATAGAATATGGCGTAGAATCGATCGAAGGAAATGAACATCATCGTGAACACAGTTGCAGCGATTGAAACTGGGATAATGTAGAACACTACCTTGCATGTCACGTTTCCTAATATTCCTGGAATCCAAGCGTCACCCCCGAAAAGATTAGCAACCTGAAGCGGCATGATTGTCACCGTCAACAACAGATCTGCAACGGTCATGTTGGCGATGAACAAGTTCGTGATGCTGGCAGAAGAGGACTTCCTTAAGACCAAGAACAACCCCATTGAATTACCGAGCAAAGCGATGGTAAAAACAACGGCATACGCAAATATTATACCAATTTTGAATTCCTGAGAGAAACCTTGTGGAACAATAGATGAAGCGATTGATGCTGGAGAGAGAATCAAAAACTGTCTGAATAAAAATAAATACTACTGTATAACGGAGCCTTGTTGAGCGCGGTGCAAGTAAAGGGCCTTTCATTGGACGTTCCATCTCTTTGTGGCGTACATGAAATTGTATTTCTCGAGATGTGTTGGCCGATGTACATAATGCAGGATTAGCCTAACGAAGGATTCCCGCTACAAGAAACCCCAACCTTGAAATTATCCTTCTGTACTTTTTTCTGTTTGGACATTGATCACAGCGGCAATGCTAGATTGAGTTTTCTTGAAGTCATAGACTCTTCTTACACTGTCCCATAACTAGTATGACGGCCTAATAAAATAACTTTTAAGAATGTTTTTCAAGCTTTGTTTACTTTTGAATTCCAACGTGACATCTTCGGACATGCAACTACATACACTTACCATTTGCCACTGATACACTTGAGCTGTCGTTCATTTCGATGGTGAAATGTTTACGGCTTCTAAGGTAGAGGGAAAAGAGAAACCATGAGACCGATGCCGTATGCGAAAGGCTTAAAGATCTGGCTGCAACGACTTGCAAGATGCAACAATGGAAATAAGCATTCACGTGAGATCAAGATTAGACTAGAAAACGTGCACTCTCAAAAGGTTGCGTAAATGGAGACTTCGGTTTCGTTTCTGGGAAGTGTAGATAACTTTACCCCAGGGCTTGCAGACATAATTTAAAATCATACTTAATCGATTGTGTACTGTACTTCACCGAAGTTGGATGTTACCTTGTACATCTATCGATCGGTTTCATATTTAAAGAAACGAATACCTGAAATATGACTTTTGAAGCTCTCTCACTTCAGCTTACATAGAACGCCTTTCTACAGAAATCATTGAATCCGTAGACAGGAAGCCAGTCTGTACACAGATAGTAGAGGATGTTACATGGCCGCTAGGGGATACGAATTTTATCTCCTCGTGCTGAAAGTTTCTCTCACGAGTGAGCGCAGCGAACGAGTGAGAGATGCTTTCAGCACGAGAAGATAAAATTCGTATCCCCAAGCGGTCATGTAAGATTCTGCTAATTATATAGATACTGATGAAATTTCCACCTAAAAGACAACTTTTTCTATTCATTTTCGAAACAGCAATTGGGTAATTATGTTGGTCACCATGGCCACACCAATATCCTCACACTTGAAAGATAAAAATGGTATCTTCACTGCGCGCGGTGAAGATATGATTTTTTAGTAAAAGGAGAAATACTGGTATTTCATCAGTATCTATATAATAAATACCAGATAATTAACCCAAACGTGAAAGTTCCTACGGTGATTATAACGAGATATGACACAATCCCCGATCAATCAGAGCGCCTGCATCTCTATAATCACCTGAACAATTATTACTAATAAGAATATTTGCCCAATCATTCCATGCCACATTGGACAGTATTATTCAAATATTAGGATGCAAAAATGTTTGCGA